TCTGTCGTAAACTCCTACTTCCAAAGACGTGTTCAGATTGTCCGTAGAGCGGTTCAAGGCACTACCACGTTCAGTGGTGGTCCATTAGTTTTTCACCAGCTCGTCATTATGGCTGTTTCTATAGGATTTGATTCTGAGGTCAGTTCACACCCAAATTCCGCCCACTTTTCCCTCCAAAGCAAGCGTCGAGCGAGGGGAGGGAGGTATCAGTGCAATGGAACGGCAAATTTTCTTCTCTACTACCCCTGCCCTACCTCACGCTGCGCCACTTACATCCACCAAATTCCACAAAAAGCCAATCTAAAGCTCTAAATCGCCTCGCCATTAGCTCAACAAATTACTAATCCCACTCAACCCCTGAATCGGACCTCCCTTCCCAAAACCACAAATGCGACCCTCGTTCGAATAGTGCGAACGCACGGTTGACCTGGATGAGAGTCGCATCATGCGCAAATCAACGGGCAAGGGAGGAGGTCCGTTTCAAATGGTTTCTTCTTCATCCCTGCTCCACTGACCACCTCTACCCTTATTTCCAATGAGCTAACTTTTCATCGTAAATTCTGCCTTTAAACCGCCTTGATGATGCTCTCGCCTGCGCTCTCTCGCCTAACAGCGGCTTATGATTACTATGATCTGGTCCATTCAAACCTTTACCATAGTGTGATAGCCTTGCCCACTCTGGAGGCTCTTCCTTCCTCCAAGGCTTAGTCCTAGGGCCCTCTCACCCAGGATCAACCGTCCGTTCGCACTATTCGAACGAGGGGTCGCATTTTGGTGGGCACAACCTCGAGGACCCGCAGCCGAAATCGCGGCGGTAGCGTCATTGGTCGGTGGATGAAAGGCTGGGAGGAACGCTCACAAAGAACATGAAGTTGTCATAAACTCAAAATAATTATTCTTTCAGGCTCGACCGTTTCGTCCTGAAGTGTTTTTCCGTGTGGAGAGCTCGCTTCGTCGCAACAGAGCGTGGTAGCAGTGCCAAAAATTGAGCAAGTCCTGGTCATAGCAAAAGGAAAATACTTCCAAATACCTTTGCAACTTTGAACCACAGGCGCGTGCGCGGCGTATCCGAAAACAAGCCTTCTTTGTGCCGACCGCATTAGATTCGATTTACTACGCACATAGAAATAGTTTTGAACGAATTCCGATGTATTCGGACCAAATAAAGAACAACTGAATGCAGTGCTATGAAAGAATTCACTTCTCGAGGCTGAAAATAAAGTTCTTCAGGAACCTAATTTTTGAGGACGCTTCTTCCAGAGAACCTGGAAACACATAAGAAAGCAGAAATCTCGTAGTCTTCAAAAATGTCTTCGCCCCTCCCCAACAAGCTCTTTGAAGGAAGTTATTATTGCTGAAAGCTCAAAAACTCGATTACTGCTCAAAAACCTTCTTCTTCTCCCTAGCGTTAGTCCCGCGCAGTCGCAGGGTCCGCTGTCTTTGTCAGTCGTCGCCACTTTGCTCTGTCCAGGGCATCTTCTGCTGTGGCCGTGACTTCACTTAGGTCCTTCTTGATCACGTCTTCCACCTCTTCTTTGGGGCTCCTCGCGGTCGCTTGCCTTGCACTTCGAAGTCCATCGCATTCTTTATCGGGTGGCCTT